CACATCCAAGCTTACAGCACCTGGTATTCTCAAGTGGTCACCCACCTAGGTACTGACCAGGATTGACAACTTTTTCCCCCCTTTTTTATCGTACGAGAACCGGTGTTTCAACATGATTGTAAGCCATTTTCCTCCTCAATGCACTTCACCCAACATGTAACATTTCAATCTAACATCCTAGAGTGAAGATTTCAGATGAAACATTTAACTAATAATGACGTGCCAGGTTGCATACTTAGTGATGCAGATGCACACACACACACACATGCATACATTTTCTAAAAACGGAATGTTGCATATATATCAATTTAGAATGACAAATTATTAATATGGGTAAATCTTATGAATTTAATCCTTTAAAAAAAAAAAAAAAAAAAAAAAAAGAGGAAAAAAGAAAGAAACTAAAATAGTTTTGTCCCAAATTCATAAATGCACACAAGTCAGCAATGAGAAAACCAACTGATGACGTTTCTAATATTCAAGAAAAAGAAAAAAAATTTACAAGGCAACGAATTCGTTGAGTAGCCAACTCAAATTTGTCTTCTTGAATATTTCTTTCAAGTGAACATTTTTTTATGACTCACACCCAATGAACAACATTGCAAGATTTCATTGCTTCAACAAGTACAAGAACATCACAACAAATATATAGAAAAAAAACATCCACAAGAAATGATGTGTTGATTTATTGGTATACATAACTTAGCTTCCCTGTGCCGTTTCTATAAATACTTTCATGGTAATTGTTCTAATGAATTTTCCGCTATGGTACCTAGACTTCATCATTTTACAATTGAAATGGCTGTTACATGTAACAGTGAGTTCTATGCTAACAGTTTCTTCTATCGCACTTCTCACTTGTGGAACTCTTCTGGCTTCTTGCTCTCCAGCCAACTTTGATCTTCAAAAATTTAAATGCAATGTTTTTATTGTTCTCTCCCTTTAATGGTGTTTTTTCTGTTTATGTATTGATATATATAGCAAAAAAATCCACAATAAATAATATGTTGATTTATTGGCATACATAAGTTAGCTTCCCTGTGATGTTTCTATAAATACTTTCATGGTAATTGTTCTAATGAACTTTTTCTTCACGGTACAACCGGGACCAGCGGAGGAAAAAAAAGGATCGCTCATCTACCTACAGACCGGCTTCCATTCTTTGTCGTTGCGGATGTCGATAACGAAAGCACAAACAATGCCCCCTCTCTTCCCCGTTAAGCGACAGAGATGTCAGTTCTCTGGTAGATGCGGGACCTTTTTCGTTTTTCGAGTGTCTATTTCGTATTTATTTTTGTATTTGGACGAGTGTGTGTTTGAGTCCGTGATTAGTTGAATGACTGTCATTAATTACCTAGTCCCGCATTAATTTCGTCCAGTTAACAATTTTTTCTGTCACATTTAAGGATTCTGGTGGGGTTTATTACAAATACTATTTTCTTTAGTTTCTTGTATATAAATTATATTCATTGTAAATATTTATTGGGGTTTCATATTTAAATATTGTTATTTTGACTCGCCCCCGCCAGGCAAATTGTACATATGAGAACTAGTTAGGACTCCATAGAGACCTGAGGTATTACGGCGACTGTAGTAAGAATGGTAAATAACAATGCTTCTTCTTTTATATGCCAAGTTCATTAAAACACGGGAGATCATAGCTCACCACAACTTCCTGTCTTTTGTTAGTCTAAGTAAAGTCTATGAATTTAAGCACTGTATGAGATTAGCGGCAAGGTCTCATCATTTTACAGTTGAAATGGCGAAATGTAATGACTTGCTTTGGTGTAAGGGATACTGTGGTATGTTCGGGTCAGTAATCATGGCTAGCAAAATTTAAGATAAATCAGATTTAAGACAAGCCTTCCTCTATTCCCCTTTTAGGACTTGTGCCTCATTTTGGTATTTTCGAAAGAAACATTTCTTTCCTCTATGGTTAAAGAGACTCTGAGGTATGTGGTGGATGTAGTAAGATTGGTAAGCAATGGTACACTGTTGTTTTTTAGTTTCTTGTATAAATTGTATTCATTGTAAATATTCGTTGGGGTTTCATTTTCAAATGTTGTTATTTTATCACCCCTTCTTCAGAAAAGTGTACATATGGGAACTAGTTAGGACTTCATAGAGACTCTGAGGTATTATGGTGACTGCAGTAAGAATGGTAAGTAACAATGTGTTGTTTTGGTGTAAGGAATAATGTGGTATGTTTGCATTAGTAGCTAAGTTTTAAGATAAAACCGATCGAAGACAAGCCTTCTCCTATCCTTTCTTTTGGCCTTGTGCCACAGTTTTGTATTATAACAAAATAAATATTACTTTCCGCTCTTAGGTACCTAAACTTTTTGAATATACGCGCAGTACTTGATTGGCGGCATGGTCTCAACATTTTATATTTGAAATAGCTAGATGTAACCGTAAGTTCTATGCTAAGAGTTTCTTCTCTCGCACTTCTCAATTGTGGGACTCTCTTCCGGCTTCTTGATTTGCTGTCAACTTTAATCTTCAAAATTTAAATCAATCAAATGCCCTCCGTAGAATAAGCTTAAATGCCAATAGGACGGCATTTTTAGTATATATATATATATATATATATATATATATATATATATATATATATATATATATATATACGATCCGTTTAGGTGAAACCTAGGTAGGTTTGTTTGGCTCACTAGGTGTATCTATCTATCTATATATATATATATATATATATATATATATATATATATATATAATTATGCAACATATTTTCATTATGGCTATATAATTTAGACATATGTTGATTAGTTTTCGTCGTGATTCTTTCAAGTTGATTTTTTGATAGCCTTAAAAATTGATTAAGAAAAAAATACTAAAATTTACTTTCAAATAGTTTTTATCTTTACCGATATATATATATATATATATATGCGTATATATATATATATATATATATATATATATAGTTTTACGTCTTAAAAATTATAGTTAGATGGTAGTATCCATCAAATATAAAATAGGGACTTACTTTTCAATCACTCTGCATATATACTCGTATCTAAAATTTTGAATATCTATCTAAATAAAATAAAAAAGATAAATAAAAACACACGCACGCACGTGCACACACATACATACATACATATATATATATACATTTTTTATTGTGTGATATATATATATATATATATATATATATATATATATATATATATATATATATATGTGTGTGTGTGTGTGTGTGTGTGTGTATGTGATTACATTCAATATGCAACATGTTTTATATATAACATATATAGATACACAGGAACACACCCACATATCGGTCCGACTTTAGCAAAAACTCATTAAACACACACACAAACACTTACACGCACACACACACGTATCACTTACACCCATACACACATATTTTATATATATATATATATACATTGTGTGTTTACGCAATAATCCTTCATTTATACACGTTCCATTAAAGACGACAGACAAGATACTATGATTAAGCTTTTTATTTAATATTCTTGTGTTCGAGCAAATGTTTTCTTTTTTTGTATATATATATATATATATATATATATATATGTAGGGAGAGAGAGTGAAAGAGAGAGAGAAAGAGTGAGAGATAGATACATACATACATGCATACATAGATATAGAGAAAGAGGAGTTACAGAGACAGAGTGAGAGAAAAAGAAAGAAAAAAGAAAAAAAAACAAATCGATATATATATAGATAGAAACAGTTTGTGATAGAAAGTTTCTGACAGGCAGATAGATAGATAGATAGATAGATAGATAGATAGATAGATGCACACACATTCACTTACACACACTCACACACCAACACTTACAAATGCACACACACACACACACACACACACACACACATGTGATTCGGTGTTTTCTTGTGATTCATCTGTAGGCAGTGAAGATAGCAATCAACATAACATTTTGACTCAGTTTCACACCACAGGCGATCGTCAGACTATCGTATGCATCAAATATTTGTTTCAGGCGTGAAACTGACAGTCACCAAACTTGTTGATTCTTATGTCTACACTGTATATATCTACCGACAATATTTCGCGATAATGAGCCTACTTTTCCAAAACTATAGTAAATAATAATTCTGTTTGCCTGTCTGTCTGTTTATTAATGGAACTTCTAGGGTTTGGGAAATAGTCCCTCCCCCCATAACCATATATATTCTGATACTACATTATCCAGGTTACTTGGATAAGTATATTTCATTTTGATTAAAGGAGGTCCCAGGGGAGGCACCCCGCTAACTAATGTTTTTCCTTTTGATATAAATTAAATTAAAATTTGAATAAAGGAAGCATTCCTAGGCTATTTGGATAAGAATATTTCATTTTGATCAAAGAGGGTCCCAGGGAAAGGGGGTTGCAAAAAACCCCACTGAAAATGTTTTCCTTTTGATTTAAATTAAATGACTCCTATCCAAAAAAAGAAGAAAGCCAAAAGATGGAGGTAACTTCGGCAAGATCAAAATGAGACAATATGGACGTCAACTTGAGCAAAAAATCGCCAAATTCAGTCGGTAGTGCTTTACAATAGCGATTTGTTGCGATAATATGTTGAAATCTGCTCATCAATTCGTCGAACTCTTCCTAGAGATTTGAAGATAGGCCCCCATAACCAAATATATTCTAAAAATACATCACCCAGGCGCTTGGATATCATTTTGATCAAAGTGGGGCCCTGGGTCACAGCCCCGTCACTGAAAATCCTTTCCATTTCGACTTAAATTTAAATTCAAACAAAGGAATGACTCCTATCCAAAATTTAAAAGGAGAAATCCAGAAGATGGAGGTCACATCGGCAAGATCACTGAGTAAAATTTAAATATATCATTTTTCTCTATAAATTATAAAAATGATTTAAAATCAGTCATTATTTTCTTACAAAAAATGTTTGACACGCATCAAAGTGCGGGTAGTTCGGCTAGTATTTCAATAACATAAGAAATAAATTTTAAAAATGGTTTATATTGTCAAA